AAAATCAAAGTTCTTATTTTGGTATCAGATACACAGGTGGCAGTTCATGCACTCTTTTTTTTTAGTTGTAGATGGGCACAATACCTTTATTTTGTTTGTTTATTTATTTTCATGTGGTGCTGAGGATCGAACCAGTGCCTCACACGTGTGAGGCAAACACTCTACCCCAAGCCACAACTCCAGCCCCTTATGCACTCATTTTGACCAATGACAATCAAAAGAGCACGTTAACATTCAATTGGTTCAAAAGCATGTACTGACCATTTAGGAACAACTGTGAATGAATTAATGTTCAGGTGTGGAATTCAAACGATATACCCTTGCTTGATACCATGAATAGGTAAATTGTGTGAAGGACAATATATCCTCCTCCTTCTGGACTCTAAAAGATATTTCAGTTAAAAGTAAGAATAGAAATGAATAAATAGAGAACTTAACTAATAAGAATCAGAGCAGGGGCCTTTCTCTTTTATCCTCCTGACTTTTTAGTTTTCTTTTGAATGATTGTTCCTAAATTTTGAAATAACATGTAGCTACCTAGTGCCCAGATATTGATTGTCCAAGACAATAGAGTAAAAACCTAGTTTGACTACTGACATTTACCAAAACACTATCCTGAGAAAATAATACCCAGAAGTTTAGAGTTCTCTAAGGTTTGTTCAATAATACTGCTGTGTTGTCCATGGATTGGTAGTGCCATTTATTTTGGAAGTGGTTATTTGGCAATTGATAGAGCCTAGCTTCATATACTCTACACAAGCAGAAATGTATTAATATGGTTCATAGCAAGAAATATGTGATCAGCCACCTTGAAACTGGCCAAAAACATTCATATATGACCTGTCAGCAGGACCAAATCACAATGTCACACCCCATTGTGTTAGTTTCCACCTGTCTCTCTTAGATAACAAAACAGAGCAAAGATCAATACAAAATAGACCTATTTTTAATTATGTATTTTTAAAAGGAGGATAAAAGAGAAAATACATTTAATTGCATGTTTGCTTCAGTTTTTAAAGTAAGCTGGTTTAATACTTATACTTGCATTTTAACTTTGCATAAAAGATGCCACAACAAAATCTATTTCAAGTCTTCCAGTCAGAGGGTATGAACAGCAAAGCAAAATAACATTAATATAATATACACTATGGTATACACTTGTACCATATTCACTTATGCATTCATTCACTTGCTAGTTGGTACATATCCTCATTTTGTCAACAACTCTGCAACAATAAAGTATATAATTTTGTTCTAGGCAGTCTGTTAGGCACTGTAGATATGATGAAACTATAAAGTTTCTTCTCAAAATAGGTCATAATCTATTGCTATTGAAAGTACCAACCAAATCATTTAAATTTCTAGAAAAAGTAACAAAATAAAATTTCACTTGGTTTCACTTTCAGTATTACAAAGCCTTCAAATGATGGGTATATTTTTCTGGGTTGTCATGTAAGTAAAGGTATGATGTAGCGTGAAGGGAATTAGCAAACCCTGGCATACAAACTAAAAAGAGTTAGAACCTTTTTAAGTTGAATAAAAGAAGTTGGAGGCATTTGAGTAGGAAGTTGGTTTAATGATTTCTCTTATCTTGAGAAATACAATGTGAAATATATATATTTTTTAACTACTCAAAGATTAGTAATATCACTGATGAACATTTTGGATAAACACTTTTAGCAAATTTGCACAATATTTAAGTTCTCTTCTGCAAATGAAATACTGGTTGAAGTATTCATTAGACTAGAAGTATTTCCTATATAAACATAATGTTGATAGCTTCACTAATGCAGTATATACTTAACCCCACATGATATTGTAGTTGTCATATATGCAGCATATTTTAGATTATAAACACTGTCAAGTAGTTTTGAAAAATAAAACTAGCTTTTCACAGGGTAATATTAAGTTAGATCTGAAACTGAAGAAAGTCCAGTTGCTCAGAAGAAATTTAATGTACAGATTCTAAATATTTCAATTTCTTTGCATTGTGTCTCTAATAATATATTAATACTATACATTTTGAAGTTACTGCAATGAGACTACTTCATAAGGGTTACTGTAACACAATATTGTAGTACTGTGGAAGTCAACCTGATATTCAGGATAACTGCTTAGTGACTTAACAAGTGAACAGAGTATACAGCCTGGATAAACTGGAGAAAGGGATGATTCACTTCCCAGGCAGGATGGAACACAATGGCTCAAGATTTCATCATGCTACTCTGAATGGCATGTTATTTATAATGTATGAATTGCTTATTTCTGGAATATTCCATTTAATATTTTTGGACCATAGCTGACAGAGAAGAACTGAAACCATAAAAAGCAAAACCACACATAAGTTTTTGATTATTGAACTTGAACATATACCTGGTAAAACTATTGAACTTGCACATATTACCTGGTAAAACTATACTTGCTATATTCTCTGGAGGGAACATAGGTTACCGAAACTAATAAAGACAGGAATACTTTTACCTAGACATTTCACCAATGGAAATATATTTCATGGAGGTAGATATTTGTGCAGAGCTTTATCTACTGGGAAGTTTATTGCAATATAACATAAAATGCTTTTTGTGAACATTACAGTTTGGTTAAATAACACTTGATCACATATGTATACTATTATTTGTATCATATATACAATATTTGACAGGTATTAAATTATATAAAAATGTACTTAACAAGGACAAATGTTTGTTTTTTATTGTTAACTAAATGAAATCAGATTGCACAATAGTATTAACATGGTCTTATTTTCTAAGTGTAAATGTTTATATGCATCAACCCTGAAAAGAAGGGTCTAGTCATGTTTATGCTAAATACCTCTTGATATGTAAGGGAACTTTCTCATTTTTGGTTTTCGCCTATATCTTTTTTCTCTTTAATAATCATGAATTGTTAATAAAATAATATTTTTAATATTCCAAAGAATTTTGTTTTTTGATTTATTCTCCTATAACAAGCAGAATATGTATTCCAGCTGGATGTGGTAGTGTATACCTGTAATCCCAGTGGCTCAGGAGGCTGAGGCAGGAGGATTGCAAGTTCAAAGCCAGCCTCAGCAACTTAGCAAGACCATGTCTCAAAAAATAAAAGGGTTCAGTGATGAAGCACCCTGGGTTCAATCCCTACTACTCTCCCTCTCCAGAAAAGAATAGTTATTTCAGCATGTAATATCAGAAGCCCTCCCTAAAGACTTAAGAGGTGAGGATGGTGAGGATTTGAAGAGTAACTTAAATCTGGACTTCATCATATTCACACATTCTTTGTTTCTTTTTTCCCCCCTTTCATTCCTCTTCTCCTTTTTAATTCTTTCCTTTTCTCCATTAAAATACCGAGGGGAAAACAATAACAGAAATCTGATCTAAGTGGCTTATTATTGAAGGCAAATATGAGTCAATTATACTTTACTTAGGTTCTCAATGGTAGTTTTTTGTTATAAAAATTATTATTTATTGCACCAAAAATTTTAATGTATGGAACATTTTTAAAGGAGTAGGACAGATACCATTAAAGTGGTATACTAATATTCTATATTAGGTTCTTTTCAAATTATTTCCTTTTGTAGTTAAGGTCATTTTGTATGTAAAAATGTGTTTTATTATTCGTAGTATATGTACATTTAAGTATTTTTTCAGGGCTCTATTTTCTTCAACACCTGCTGTGTCTCACCTATACCTACTCATGCATTTTCTTGTTTAGCAATACTCTTGAATGCTCACTATAGGCTTTTAAATGCAAGTTGTACAATGATGGAGAAGATAAGAGTGACCTCTGCCCTCAAGGAAGGGTCTAGCCAGGGCCACAGTTACTGTGCTTAGTCCACTGCAAATCTCAATAAGCAGTAAAAGCAATAATTGGGAAGTGAAGTATAGATACTAACTAAAGTCACACAATAACCACCTACTATCTATTCTCAATATGACCCTTAGTCTTATTTTCATTTATTCCTTTACTGCTCCTTAATTACTTTTCCTCTCTCATGGGAAACAAATAGAATCAGCAAATCATGATTACTGTTCCTTACAATCAGGTAGGTTACACTAAGAGGCATAACAAAAAAAAAATCAATTTAACAAGCTAAGATAAAGAGAACTTTGGATGATGTCAAGTTCATTTGTCCCATTATACTTATGCATTGTATACTTACTAAAGAACAGAAGGGAATCTTTACATTAAATATTTCCAAAGGCAGTAACCAGGGGATATTTCCAAAATGTTTAATGACAGAGACCATACAGAAGCTAATCATTCAGAAGGAGGCCTCTCCCTGGGTTATGTGTTAATCTCTTAGTTGCCTTATCTGGCAGGTCTGTCTGGGCATCCAGGATAGAGACTAGAATGACTATATAGTGGGGTCCCTGGGAGGTTCAGAACAGTGGCTCTTTGCCAAAAAGTGTGAAAGTCTTTCAACAGTTTAACAACTGGTATGACAGGCATAGCCCTGGAGGAAATGTATCACAGTACTGCAGTGATTTCTGCTCTAGGGAAGGACATAAGAGTAGTCAGGAGAGTTTTTTTTTAAAGGGGAACATTGCATGTGGTGTTTCTCTGTTAATCTTGCAAAATTAGAAATTCTAAATCTACCTAGACATTTAAAAAAAAAGAAGTGAGAAATTCCATAAGCAGTCAACTGACATTAAATGCAAATTTTATAGGAATTCTACTTAAATATTATAGAGATGGGGAGGAAGTAGGAAGGGATGAGTAGAAAAATCATTTGCCTGATCTCATTGATTAGACACTCTGGAGTACCTACTTATTTAATTTTAATTGAATTTAGCTTTTTTGTGGTATTGGAAATTGAAGCCAGAGATTCATGCTTCTTTAGCCCTTGAAGTGTCTGCTTGTTTTGAAAAAAAAAAAAAGAGAGAAGGGAAGGGAAATGAAGGCATAGTATCTTAACCACATTCATGAAATGGCGCTATATGAACTCAGAATGTATGTGATAATATTTTAAAAGTCTGTTACCTGTTTTTTTTTTTTTTTAGATTTCTTTATTGGAAAAGGCTGGATTTGGAGGTGTTCTTCTATATATTGATCCTTGTGATTTACCAAAGACTGCAAATATTAACTATGATAACTTCATGGTGACGCTGAATCCAGGAGGAGACCCTTCTACGCCTGGCTACCCAAGTGTTGGTAGGTTTGTTGCTTCTTATTCTTCTAAATGTCACAAGAATTCAATTTATCAGGGCATGCTACCTAAATTAATCAAGAGATAGTGAAGTCAATTAATTTTTAGCCACTTCATATTTTATAGTTTAGCTTCTTAAAATTGGAGACTGCCAACCTGTTGGAGTTAAGCTTTTAAAATAAATTATAATAGAATTTGTCTCAATAAATTATAACATTATAAACAAACAGAATGCAAATATGTTTTATGTTATAATTGGAAAACTGATAGATCACCACCATGAGGGGAGGCCACTCCATGTAGGTTGGAAGCATGTACAAATGGTCCAAGACAGGAAATATCTGATGCTACTTTGGGGCAGCTGTGTTACTTCAAAGTTTGGAATCTAGAAGAATACATGGTTTGGTTAGTAAGTAAAAGGAGAAGATGCTAAGTCCTTGATCCATTTTGAGTTGAATTTTGTGTATGATGACAGATAGGGGCTTAATTTCATTTTGTTGCATATGGATTTCCAGTTTTTCCCAGCACCATTTTGTTGAAGAGGCTATCTTTTCTCCAATATATGTTTTTGGTGCCTTTGTCTAATATAAGATAACTGTATTTATGTGGGTTTGTTTCTGTGTCCTCTATTCTATACCATTGATCTACAGATCTTTTTTTGTGCCATGCCATTTTGTTACTATAGCTCTACAGTATATTTTAAGGTCTGATATAGTAATGCCACCTGTTTTACTCTTCTTGCTAAGGATTACTTTAGCAATTCTAGGTCTCTTATTATTCCAATGAATTTCATGACTGCTCTTTCTATGAGAAATGTCATTGGGATTTTGATTGGAATTGCATTAAACCTGTATAGTGCTTTTGGTAGTATGGTTGTTTTGACAATATTAATTCTGCCTATCTAACAACAAGGTAGATATTTCCATCTTCTAAGATCTTCTTTAATTTCTTTCTTTAGGATTATGTAGTTTCCATTGTATAAGGTCTTTCACTCCTTTTGTTGATTCCCAAGTATTATTATTTTTTTTAAGGATACTGTAAATGGGATAGTTTCCTCATTTCTCTTTCAGAGGATTTATCACTGATATATAGAAATGCCTTTGATTTATGAATGCTGATTTTATATCCTGCTACTTTACTGAATTCATTTATTAGTTCTATAAGTTTTCTGGTGGAAGTGTTTGGGTCTTCCATGTATAGAATTATATCGTCAGCAAATAGTGCTACTTTGAGTTCTTCTTTTCCTATCTGTATCGCTTTAATTTATTTTGTCTAATTGCTCTGCATAGAGTTTTAAGAACTATATTAAATGGAAGTGGTGAAAGAGGGCATCTCTATCTTGTTCTAGTTTTTAGAAGAAATGCTTTTAATTTTTCTCCATTTAGAATGATGTTGGCCTGGGGCTTACCATAAACAGCTTTTACAATGTTGAGATATGTTCCTGTTATCCCTAGTTTTTCTAGTGTTTTGAACATGAAGGGGTGCTGTATTTTGCCAAATGCTTTATTTGCATCTATTGAGATAATCATATGATTTTTATTTTTAAGTCTATATGTAATGAGTTACATTTATTGATTTCCCTATGTTGAACCAACCTTGCATCCCTGGGAAGAACTCTACTTGATCGTGGTGCAATATCTTTTTGATATATTTTTTTGTATTCAATTTGCCAGAATTTTAGTGAGAATTTTTACATCTATGTTCATTAGAGATATTGGTCTGAAGTTTTCTTTCTTTGATGAGTCTTTCCCTGGTTTTGGAATCAAAGTGATATTAGCCTCAAAGAATGAGTTTGAAAGTGTACCCTCTTTTTCTATTTCATGAAATAATTTGAGGAGCATGAGGCTAATATCACCTTGATTCAAAGGTCTTGTAGAACTCAGCTGTGTATCCATCCAGTCCTGGGCTTTTCTTGGTTAGTAGACTTCTGATGGCATCTTCTATTTCATTACTTGAAATTGATCTGTTTAAATCATGCATATAATTTTGGTTCAGTTTGGGCAAATCATGTGACTCTAGAAATTTGTGGATGCCTTTGGTATTTTCTATTTATTGGAGTACAAATTTTCAAAATAATTTCTAATTATTGTCTGAATTTCTACAGTGTCTGTCATGATATTTTCATTTTCATCACAGATGATAGTAATTTGAGTTTTCTCTCTCCTCTTCATTAGCATGACGAAAGGTTTATCAATTTTACTTCTTTTTTTTAAAGAGCCAACTTTTTGTTTTGTCAATTTTTCAGTTGTTTCTTTTGTTTTAATTTCATTGATTTTAGCTCTAAGCTTAATTATTTCCTGTCTTCTACTGCTTTTGGTGTTGATTTGTTCTTCTTTTTCTAGGGCTTTGAGATGTAATGTTAGGTCATTTATTTCTTGAATGTTCTGCTCATGGTTTCTTACCATCTTTACTGTGTAATCTACATTCTTTTCAAGATTATATATTTTGATTTCATTGTCTGAAGTCCTGTCTTCCAGGTTATCTATATTCTGTTGTTTATTCTTTCTATTGAGCTTTCAATTTTGTTCATTGTTTCTTTCATTGAAAGAATTTCTGTTTTTTTCAATACCTCTAATTGCTTTCTTTTGCTTCCTGTACTTATGTAGCTCTTCATTGAAAAGATATTTGCTGCCTGTATTTGTTCTCTTATATCATCCTTTAATTTACAGAACATTTTAATAATGTACATCCTGAACTCCTTCTCTGTAATTTCTTCTGTTGTTTTAGCCATAGATTCTAATAATGTAGTACCTTAATTTGTTTAGGACACTTTTTTCATTTCTTTTTTCTTCATGTCGATCCTGTGTCTTTCCTTCTAGCACTGTAGATCTGAAGTGTTACAATTTTTATGCTTTAGGCTTATAGTTCCCCTGCAGGGTTCCAGTACCTCTCCTTGAAGGGGAAAACAATGTTAACAGATCCCAGTACAACCAATATACAACCTAAAACTAAATGGTTGCTATTAAGGCATTTACAGTTTTGTCACAATATACAGAAATGGTGAGTTCAATTAATTTCTACAATATAAACAGTAGGTTTGCAAAAGGGTTTACAGTTGCTGATGGTGGACAAAGAACCTGGGTGAGGTGTAAAATGAGATGTTGAGGGGGTGGGAGGTGAGGATATAGAACTGTTAGATTTTAGGAAGTATGAGAAAGGAATCGGAAGAAGTTGGGTAGTAGCAGGGGAAGAGAGAGGAAATGATTTTTGGGAGACAAGTAAGTGGGAAGACAATAGAATATATAAACAAATACATATAAATATTAAAAGAAATAAAAATGTAAAAATAGGAGATAAACAAATATATAACACAACCATAATATATTATTCAGACATCCCAGTCCTCAGTATCCTAATTTATGCCAAGTACTTGGTTTCGCAAATGTTGGGTATGTGTGGGTGGGAGAATAGAGAGGGAGAGGAAAAAAATCTCTAAGGAAGAAACAAGGCTTGTTTTGGTTGGAGTTCAATATCTTTCCTGCTTCCCTTGTCATCAAATAGGTGATGATTTCTGTTATTTTCTGGTATCTCCACACTCAGGATATTGAAGGTTACCAGGGTAAAAGGGTTGGTCTTGGGTGCACAGCACCTGGAATTGGGGTATGGCACCAGCTCTTCCTGATAAAAGACTGCACCTCAAGGATCTCCTTTGGGGCCCACTCATGTGATGTAGGTGCCTAGTATTATCTCCTTGTATTACCTATAGACCTCAAAGTTCCTGGTCTCTAATTTAGTCTCTAAACTGTATCTCACTCACCCCTCCCTTTCTACTTCCTAATCTAGGAGCTTTCTCTCAGCAGGTCTTATGGGTTGCACTCTAGGGGCTGCACACCTGTCTTGGAGAGCTGTTTTGTACTAGGCAGTCACTGTGCAGGGTTAGCGGTTACCAGGGAGAGAGGGGAGTTTTTGACTATAGATACCTTCCCAGCTGGTGATCCAACCTGGGAGTTGCCACAACTAAAGATGGTGACGAATATATCCCAAGATGGAGGCAGCGGCCTTTAGCGATGGGGTGTCAGGTCGGGTTGTGGGGGGCGATGGGCAGTGTTATTGGGTGATATGTTCAAAGATGCAGCTCGGACCCAGTGCAGGCTCCATGGGTGTCAGTGGGGCTGCTCTAAGCTTGTCTGTGCTCCGTGCTGGGTTGGCAAGTCTGTCCTGGACCTGCCTCTGCCAAAAAGTAGGTGTTTTTAAATCAAGAATTTCAATGTACTCTTCTGAATACATAATCCAAATGGATTGTCTAGATGAAACACAAGAACTCCATGAGAAGCTCTGCTCAGTCAGTCTCATTGCATAGCCAAATAGCTCTCAATTGTTATGGAACCAGAGTGAAGAGGAAAATGTTTCCAAGTAACATTTGTCCCCATAAACAAGAAAAAAAAAAAATGCTGGGATCATTCTTTTAACAAAAGCAAGTCTTTGGATCTATTTAGCATATTAAGTACTCTGAACCTTATTTTCTTCACAATAAAAAAGCAAGATTATACTGTAACAGTATGTACTTCACAAGATAATTTTCACAGAAGCAAAAAAAATCTTGAGTTACATCTCAGACTTAAGTAGGAATTCTGAAGGAGGGGCCCAACTTACTGTGATCTAGCATGGACTCCAGGTGGCTCTGATGCAACTCAGGTTTGAGAACTGAGGTAGAAAAGCTTTATTATTCTTCATTTGCCACATCAAATGAGACCACTTAGGGCTCCTGGTCCAGTCTGTGACTTCATGTTACCATTATTGCAGCATCTTGTGTCTTTCATATTTGCTATCTCTATGTCAATCAGGATTCTGACATATTAATTCTGGGTTTGTAGCCCAATTCTTGCACTCAATAGACTTTCAATAAAGTGTCACTGTTGAATGAACAACTTCTTCTTCAACATGACTGCCTGCCTTGAATGATTTTGAGCTATACACTAACTATAACCCAATTAAAGTTTCTTTTAAAAAAAATCATGTGTAAACATTTACCCCTCACAGTTTTATTCATAAAATACATGGTTTT